AAAAATTTTTTTTATGGCAAAATATAACTAGGAAGTAATATGAACTTCAAATGTAAATGATGCTAATTTTTTATAACCAAATATATTAAAGAGTGCTTGAGAACTTCTTAATAGAGCAAGTGGTAACTTTTCGCAAAGGATTTCTCATAGGTCTCGGTTTCGACCACCCCAGTCTCCCCTCCCCACAATGTAACTATGTTGAAAAATATATATATATATATATATATATTAAAGAGTGATTAAAATATAATAGTCACACGAGTGGCATTACTAGCTGCCAAAGAAAATAATTGAAAAACCGCACGTATAGTGCGGGCCAACCACTTGCTTTAATTAATTATAATTTTGATTTTCTTCTCCGATTTCCCTTTCTCCAGTCTCTCCGAGGAATCAAACTCTTCTCCGTCGATCACAATCTGAGTCCTCCCCTTCCCTCTGTCCCTTCTCGCGATTCGTGTTGTGAACCCTCTACCTCTGCAAACCCTAATTAAACCCTCACTCGTTACCCCTATCTTGCTGATTCCCAATCCTCCCTTCTTCTCTTTATCTTGGACAATCATTAATTGATTCTTTAGTAAACTATTGTCTGTTGTTTAATCAAGCATGCAAAATGGATTAATATTCCCTGGAATATTTCATGCAACAGATGCAGAAAGAGGTTTTGGTATTATGTGCTATTATGCTTATTTTGCTTCTTGACTGTACTTATGCTTTTTTTTTCTTGAGTTTTTTGTTTTCTATTAATATTTATTAGTTGAATTTCCTTCTTTGACAATGGAACTTTTTATCACTTTCAGGAATCGTATTGATGATGACTCGCTTGATAAAAGATGGTACTCTGCAAGGAGAGAAGGCTGTTTTCTTTCAAATTCAACTTAGAATGCCTAAGGGAAGAAATTGAACATACCTTGTTTGGATGAGGACTGTAATATCACCAGACTTGGCTGGAGAAGTAACCCCAATGGCTATAGAATTAGTGACGGCTTTAGTCCTCAAGTGCACAAATGAAGGAACCTTTTCTCTATGCATAACGTCAAGCCTCATGGCTTCATTTCTATAGAGCCAACGCCAATCTTTTGCTCTCAAATCCTGGTTGTGTTTGAGGCATGAATGCCAGGAAGAGGGAAAATGGATGCATCCCATGGTAGGAAAATTTTGGGGTCGAGGCAGAATGGCTTAGATGATGTTCGCAGAGGAATGAACATTTGTGGGGGTTCCTTATTGGGTGGAAAACACCTTCTTGGGTTTGGGCCCAGCTTGGGTTTTTTGGACCAAAATTCGAATTCTATTTCTCTGTCCAAAAGTAAAAGGGGCTTGGGAAATAACTAGCCAAATCATGAAAGTAAGCCCTTAAACTTATCAAGTAGTGGCAAATAAGTGCCTCAACCTAAATCAGTGGCAAACAACCCCTTAAACTAGATAACAGTGGCAAAGAAACCCTTCCCTATGGGCAAAACCCACAGATTGCCCTTCAACTTTTTGAGTGTGTGAAACTTTACCCCTCACTTTATAATATGTGATTTTATACCCTTCTGATATGATTTTAGACCTTTTTGGTATTCGAGTGTGTAGAACTTTACCCCTCACTTTACAACTTTAGGAGGGTATAACATCATAAACTCGAATATCAAGAGGGTATAAAATCGTAAACCCAAATATCATGGGGGGTATAAAATCACATATTGTAAGGTGAAGGGTAAAGTTCCATACACTCGAATAGTTGAAGGGCAATCTGTGGGTTTTTGCCCTTAACTATGTGATGACATCATCAATCTGTTAAAAATTAACGGGGGGCTCTGGTTGAGTGGGATCAACTGTTGAGCTGGAGGCCATGTGGCCTTTTTTGAGCGTGACATGGCATTTTATACCTACTTGCTATATCAAATAAATAAATTAAAATAATTAAAAATAAACTAAAACTAATTGAAAAGACAAAAATATCATTCTAAACTCCTCTATCCTCATCTTCCCCTTTTCTTCTTCAATGTCTTTCGCTTCTCCGTTTCTCACCTTTACCCCTTAGAAGCTTCCTATGACACTGGATCACCAAATCAGGATGTATTGGCAAGCTTCGTTTCAATTAGGATCTTATGGTTGCTGAACGATAAGCTTAGGGCCAAATTGGGCTACAAAACTTAGGAAAACATAAGTTGCAATAATTCAATTTCTTAATTTTGCTTTTATATATATATATATATATATTTGTTATTTCTACTGAGTCAATTGTGATTATATGAGAAAATGGATAATGCTTAATGAAGGGGTGAATTAAGCAAGTTTTGCCAGATTTTGTGTTTAATGAAAAGAATCTGGTCCCAATCCTTGAGTTTCTTGATTTTACTAATAATTCTTGCTTTAAAATATTTCTTACACTTCTGCTTAGTCTTGGGA